ACAAAAATGAGGGAAATTTAAAATTTGAACTGATTATATTGTACTAAGGACTTCGTACTATATGAACATTAATGAATGTTGAGTAATTTAATCCCAAGGATTATGGATTCAAATCTTAAGTAATAATATTATTATATGATTAATATTATATAGGACGATCAAATAAATAATTTTTTGATTGAAACTTTGTTATTCCAAGATGATCTGTGATTCGATATAATTAAGCATCCTATATTACTATACATCATATAAGAAGCTTAGAGATGAGAAATAAACTAATTAGATACTACAACCCGAGAATCGTACTGTGTGATCAAAGAAATTGATTTAAAATTAGGATATAATTTAAATAACCTAGCCATCTTAAATCTAAGAAGACTTAAGGGTCTAGGGTTGAGTAGCAGAGACATTTTTCTAGGGAGGAGCTTGGGAGAAGGACAGGGAACCTCCTAGCTCGTAAGAGGGTCTCGAAACAACTTATAAGAGGGAGGAGGTGACGTTGAGGTAGATTTTTTTCATGAGGGTGCCAAGAGGTGTGAGGGGATTGAGACAGTTGTTATTGTCAGCCTACATCTTGAGTCTTTCATATTGTGATTATGGTGCTCTTAGAAAAGAGCGCTAAGAGAAACTCTATGAGAGAAATACTTACTAATCAAGGAGGCTAGGGGACGACATATCCACCATACCTAGGAGTTGAAGGAGAGAGCAACATCTCTTCCATAGAGAGGAGCTAGCTAAAGTAGGGGGGCTTCTCCTCTGTAGTGAGGAGCTGAAGGAGAGAACAACATCTTCATCAGGTTAGGAGTCAAAAGGAGGAAGATTTTTTTTGGGTTAGAAGAGTCTGTAAATATCATTCTCTACCTATTTGAGTGCTAAATGAGTGTGAGTTAGTGCAATACCCAAAGATGATGATCATTGGAGAGTAACTTGAACGTTCGTGAGGGGTGTTAATTTCTAAAGAACTAGCCTGAGGCTAACTAGGGGGGGTAAATTGGTATTTTTATAAATCTTAAATAGAAAGAAAATATTTTTGATTTTTTAAAATATTTTAAAATAAAATAATAACCCTTGATGCATAAGAAAATAATTTTGCTATAATAATAGAATCAAATTTTTTAATCCTAGAAAAAAATCAAAGAAAAGTATAAAAATAAAATTCTATAAAAGTTATAAGGAAGAACACACTTAATTTTATAGTGGTTTGGTCAAATATGACCTACGTCCACTCCTTGGAGACCCCCACTCCATACATTACACTAAACTAAATTGAATATCCTTTTTCTCCCATAGTAAGGTAGAGAAGCCCTTACAAAATCTTTCCACCGATATAGTGAGACAGAGAACCTTGAATCCTTTTATTCCCTCCTAGAGTAGTTAGAGAACCTGAGAATCCTTTTACTTCCTCTTGGAGTAGGTAGAAAATCTAGATCTAATCCTGAAAATGATCTTCCTAGAGCCCCCAAGGAACTAGTTGAGCAACTCAAAGAAGATGAAGAACAGCTTGCTTGGAGCAACCTTTGTAATTCCCTCATAAACTCCCTCTCACTAGGATCTCTCTCTCTCTCTCAAGCTCTCCCTCTTCCTTCTCTAAGCTCCCTCTTGGATCAACTCCACAATAAAAGATTAACTCAAGGGTTAATACAATTACTTAAATAGTGAGCCTCCAAAATAAGCCCTAATTTTAAATTCTACACAACTTATCGTCGTGTACAGTTTGTACAAAATAGTCCTTTCAACCAAAATGATCACCATTGCTCTGTATGATCAGTATAAGTATTTATATAGATCATACATGATGATTAGTTCAAAATACTATATTAAATTGTCTTACATGACATGGGACGATGGTTGCCGATTTACATAAAATCCCACAAACATCTCGGGACATCCAGTATGATACTCCTAGATCATTAGAAGAAAATTATAATTTTTTGTCTTGGACGATAGGGGATCATCTTAGAAAATATACCAGATCGCCTAGTACGATCCAAAGGAATTGTCCTATATGATATGATTGAACAATTTAGCCATATATATTCCCTTAATCACCAAACCAATTTAGGCATGATTGTCATAAATCATCCAGAATTATGTATATCATCCTACATGATTAGAAAAAAATTTAAAAATTAAAACATTACCAAAATTATAATGGCGGCTATTTTTCATCATCTAAACTGATCATGCTGGATGATATGGGTTATCTAGTTTTATTAGTTTAATTACTCAAGATTAGCATGAATGCCTTAATCACGATTATTATTTTTGGTTGATCACCTAGTACGATTTGACATCATTCTATATGATTAGGTCGAAGATAAAAAAATACTCTAACTTAACAAATTTCTCATACTGAGTATATGTATGCAAGGTTACTTCACTTTTGGTCCACCATATGAAAGTTCTTATAGGTTGTTAGACCTAAAGCAATTGTCTCAAGGCTAACCAAGAGGGGGGTGAATTGGTAATTTAAAACAAATTTTTGATATATTAGAAAACTCTTCTTTTAATTTTAAGCATAAGAAAAGTTTTATCAAACTAACCTATTTAACTACAAAAATAAAAAAAAATAGAAAATTAAAAATAAAATAACACAAAATTTACAGTGGTTCATTCCAATTTGACACAAGTCTACTTCCTGAAGACTCTTTCTTCAGGTATTGAACTATTACCAAAGCGACTCCCCTTTTGCTCTCATAGTAAGGCAGAAAAGCCTTTACAATTAACCTCTCTTTCACTAATCCCCAGTGCAGGAGAGTACCATCATCCTTTCATACCCTCCAAGTTTCAGCAAATAACCGTCATCCTTTCACACCCTCCTTGTGTTGGCAGAGAACCTTCATCCTTTCATACACTCCTGGTGATGGAAGAGAATCATCATCCTTTCACACCTT